AAAAAAAAAAAAAAAAAAAAAAAAAAAAAAAAAAAAAAAAAAAAAAAAAAAAAAAAAAAAAAACACAGAAAGAGGTCTCTACACATCTGGCCTCATCTCTTTCTTCCCCTCTGTGAATTAGGTTTTGTGATGAATTCTTGGACGCATGCTTGCCCAAGTCAAGGTTTCTCCCATGTTGTAAGCTTTGTTGGGATATAGATATAGAGTCGGATGCCTCGATCTGATAGAGATATATTTGGAAGATATTTCGTAAACATCTTAGAGATATATATGGTAGATATACATGATAGATATATGGTAGATGTTTGGTAAAGATTTGATAGAGATATATTTGATAGATTATATCTACTAGGTTTAAATCTTTGAAAACTATAATTAGTAAATGGAAACCATATATATACCGCAGTTCTCTCAAAATATTCAAAATGTACTTTTCTTCATTCTCTTTATGTTCATCTTGATCGGGTGTGCGTTGTTGAGCAATTCTAACAACTGGTATCAGAGCGAGACGAGATTCACCACGATCTTTGAAGATGGGAATTTCAAAGATTGGAATTGAAAAGTTCGATGGATCTGATTTCAGTTTCTGAAAGATGCAGATTGAAGATTGTTTGTACCAAAAAAGTCTTCACGAACTCCTGTTGGGGTGAAGCTGGATACTATGACCACGGAGCAGTGGAAGCTCAAGGATCGTCAGGCTTTAGGGTTGATCCGGTTGACGCTGTCTAGAAACATGACGTTCAATATTATCAAGGAGAAGACAACGTCAGATTTATTGAAGGCGTTGTCGAATATGTACGAGAAACCGTCGGCTATGAACAAGGTGTATTTGATGCGGACACTGTACAATCTACAAATGTCTGAAGGTGGATTTGTTGCTGGTCATATAAACGAATTCAATATGATTGTAAGTCAACTGAGTTCGGTGGAAATTAATTTCGAGGATAAAATTAAAGCATTGATTTTGATGTCATCTTTACCCGAGTCGTGGGATACGGTTGTTGCCGCAACCGGCAGTTCACGAGTATCTAATAAACTGAAGTTCGATGAAATTCAAGATGTAGTTCTCAGCGAAAGTATTCGCAAACGAGAAATCGGAGATCCATCAGGCAATGCTCTCAGTGTTGATCGAAGGGCAAGAAGTAAATCAAAGGGCCCAAACAATGGCGATCAAAATCAAGGAACCAAGGAAAATCTCCAAACAAACCAAATGTAAAGTGTTGGAGTTGTGGAGAAAAAGGTCACTTTCGGGCAGATTATACAAAGAGGAAACAAAATCACAAATCAGAGGATGACGATGATTTGTTACATTCAGCAGAAGACATAGGGGATGCTCTAATCCTCAGCGTGGATAGTCTGATTGAATCCTGGATTTTGGATTCAGGTGCATATTTTCGTTCGTCTCCAAATAAAGAGTTGTTTAGAAATTTCAAGTCTGGAATTTTTGATAAGGTGTATCTTGCCGATTGAAGGAAAAGGGATGTCTGCATAAAAACTCCGGCAAGAAATCAGTGGAAATTAAAGGATGTCAGATATATTTCTGGTCTCAAGAAGAACCTGATCTCTATTGGTCAGTTGGATAGCACAGGTTATGCAACAAAGTTTGGGAAGAGTTCGTGGAAGATTGTGAAGAGTGCTATGTGGTAGCACGTGACACAAAATCTGGAACCTTGTACACCACTGCAGGGTGTATGAACATGGCTGCTGTTGTTGAGAGTGCTTCCAATTCAAGGCTATGATACAATAGACTTGGACATAGGAGCGTTAAAGGAATGAAGATGCTGGCTGCGGAAGGAATTTTGGAAAGTCTGAACTCTGTTGATATGAGTCCTTGTGTGAACTGCGTTATGAGTAAACAGAAATGACTTAGCTTGACTGCCAAAGAATTGAAGAAAGGTTCCGGGACAACGAAGCAAGTGGAAGTTGAGGTTGAGTTGCTGAAAGATTCAACTAGTGATGTAGCAGATACTCAAGAAACTCTTGAGACTGTTGTTGAGGAACTAGAGGTGAAGCGAGTGGGAGTTGTGGTTGAGTTGTTGAAAGATTCACCTAATGATGTTGTAGCAGATACTCAAAAAAACTCCTGAGACTATTGCTGAGGAACTAGAAGTGGAGCAAGTGACACTTGAGAAGGTGTTGAAAAGATTATCCAGAACTATCAGAGTACCAGATAGGTATGTACCTTCTTTACACTATCAGTTGGTGACTGCTGAAGGGGAACGAAAGCCCCTTGATGAGGCCCTACAGTTGGAGGATACAACCAAGTGGGAGCAAGCCATGGATGATGGGATGTCTAGGCTTCAGAAATGCGTTGCTCTTTCACCTGGTGAGGCTAAGTACATGGCAGTAGCTGAAGCTGGAAAGGAGATGATATGAATGACATATTATTTAGAAGAATTAGGCAAGAAGCAGCGTGAGAAGATTCTTCAGGTAGATAGTTAGAGTGTCATATAGTTGGCGAGCAACCTGGTCTATCATTCAAAGACAAAACACAAAATGTGATACCATTTCACTCGGAAGTTAGTGGAAGATGGTGATGTGTTTGGAGAAGATAGAGGGTGCAAGCAATCCAGCAAACATTTTGTGTTGATGTTGGAACATTGAGGTTGTGCAAAGCCTCAAGTGGTATGGTACAGATTGAGAATGAAATTCTTGGTTGACTGGATCAGTCTCCCATTGGGAGATTGTTGGGTTGACTGGATCAGTCTCCAAGTGGGAGATTGATGGGCTATGGAGCCTAATGCCTAAATCTGGTAGAGATATATTTGAAAGATATTTCGTAAATATTGGATAGAGATATATATGGTAGATATTTGGTAAAGATTTGATAGAGATATATTTGTTAGATTATATCTAGTAGGTTTAAATCTTTGAAAGCTATATTTTGTAAATTGAATCTATATATATACCCCATTAGGCAGTGCTCTAAAAAATGTACTTCTCTTTATTCTCTGTATTCTATCTTGTTGTACATACCTAAAGTCATCAATAAAACCTTTAGCTAATATTCCTTCTTGAATTTTCTATCTCTTGTTCTTTGTGTTCATCTTGATCGGGTGTGTGCGTTGTTCAGCGATCCTAACAAGCTTTCCATTGGTATTTAACCTCATTTATTCAATTTTATTATTTAATAACTATTTATTCAATTTTAATTGCAATTTAACCTCATTTATTTGTTAAAATCTGAAGTTATTAGTATAATATAGAATAGTATGTAGTTGAAGAAGCAAGGTAAGAGTTTATTTGGCACATACTTGCAATGGTCTGCTTAATGAGGCATAGCTGGCCTCTACATTCTGTAATAATTATGAATTTAATATCAATCACAGTAGATGTCTACAATGTCCATCGATTTGTTTATATTAACCTCTTCTTCACTGAAAGGCTGCACCTTCGAGCTTGGCTCAAAACTTACAACATCCAGGTACGAACTGATTTCAGCCTTCTCAACTGTTTGCGACAATGATCATGTTTTTCTGCTCATCTACTGCTTTGTAAACTCAGTTTCGATACCATTACTTGCATTCCTCGTGGTTTGTCAACTGATTATAAATTATTATTTGTGATGTTCCACTTATGAATTTTGGCTATATTCATCCATCTTTTGTAACAACCCAGATCCGCCACTAGCTGATATTGTTCTTTTCGGGCTTCCCCTCAAGACTTTATAACGTGTTTGCTAGGGGAAGGTTTCCACACCCTTATAAATGATATTTTGTTCTCCTCCCCAACCAATGTGGGACATCACAATCCACTCCCCTTCGGGGCCCAGCGTCCTTACTGGCATACCGCCTCGTGTCTACTCCCCTTCGGAGAACAGCGAGAAAGCTGGCACATCGTCTGGTGTCTGCTCTGATACTATTTGTAACGACCCAGATCCACCGCTAGCAAATATTGTCCTCTTTGGGCTTCCCCTCAAGGCTTTTAAACGCGTCTGTTAGGAGAAGGTTGTCACACCCTTATAAATGGTGTTTTGTTCTCCTCCCCGACCATGTGGGACATCATATCTTTAGTCCTCGAGGATTACAGACCAATTCTTTAAACAACCATCCTAACTATGCCTTTTGTTCCTTGTTTACTAGGTGTTTTGTTGTGGAGAACTCACTTTTGTCTCATTTATTTGAATGCATCATCCTAACTTCTTGCTACCATAAGTTTCTTACTATAAAGAAAGTTGAGAAAATCCTCTTAATTCAATCCACTGTGCTTCCAGATCTTTGTGTAGTACCTGTTAACTCTTTTCCTAAACAAAATTTAGTATCTGTCACTTAAGGATGTTCTGGTCTCTTTTTTGTCAGGGTAAAATGTCTTCTGAACCAGTGAACGTGAATGACTTCAAAGAATTAGCCAGGAATGCACTTCCAAAAATTTACTATGATTACTACGCTGGGGGAGCTGAGGACGAACACACGCTTAGAGAGAACATACAAGCTTTCCATAGAATCACGTAACTTCGAAGCTAAGCAACGATTTCTTTGTAGAACTCATGCTATATGTTATTCATGGGCGTCTGTATGGTTTATAGGATTCGGCCTCGAGTTCTGGTGGATGTGAGCCAAATTGATATGTCAACAACCATATTGGGCTATCCCATCTCTGCACCTATCCTCCTTGCTCCCACTTCTGCACATAAGTTGGCTATCCCTGAAGGTTACCCCTTTTGGTATCTTGCTTACTTGAGAACTGATTTTCATGCCACTTTTTTTCTTGATGATATCTGTGATCTTTCAGGAGAATTAGCCACGGCCAGGGCAGCTGCTGCTGCAAACACTATAATGGTACTAATGTGACTACAAGCGATGAATTATTTTACTTGTGCAATTTGGTAACTGAATTAAGTTGCTTTCGTTTGTAGATTCTGTCTTACTCTTCCACCTGTTCAATGGAGGAAGTTGCCTCTAGCTGCAATGCTGTCCGTTTCTTTCAATTACATGTAAACTACACTTCTCTTGCACATTTTTTTTTACCATCCCTTTTTCAATCCTTTCCTATAGCAGTAATCCAGTTCTTCGCAAGTTCTAAATTAGTTTCTCATTAGATTTCCAAACGGCGCGATATCTCGGCGCTGCTAGTACAGAGAGCTGAGAGATTTGGATACAAGGCAATTGTCCTGACTGCTGATACTCCTCGACTTGGAAGAAGGGAGGCTGACATAAGGAACAAGTAGCAATGTTTCACATCTCTGTTTCTTTCCATAAAATCTTCTTAATTCCTTTATCTTGCATCCCAATTGTAAGCTATGCCTTAGTTTTTGTCTCATCTGGAGAACCACTTGGTTAAATTTGTAGGATGATTGGCTTTCCAGTGAAGAATCTTGAAGGCCTCATGTCTATTGACGTTGAATCTGTGAGTAATATTTTGATCAAATCCGGTTTAGTTATCTGGGATGATACTGCCATATTTGTTAACTCATATCAAATTATAGAACCTCATTTCTATTGCTCCTAGGCTTATTTACAACTCACGATCGTATGTAGGACCAAGGTTCAAAGTTAGAAGCTTATTACAACGAGTTGTTGGATGCATCTATACGTTGGGAAGTATGTCCAATAAACTGCTCAGATTCTTTGTATGTCTATTTTATTTCCAGTTCAGTTATAATATTCTACCATCCACAGGATATAGGGTGGTTAAGATCAATCACTAATCTGCCAATTCTGATAAAGGGGATTCTCACTCATGAAGATGGTAAGGTTCAGTTATGTCTTAAACGTTATTAGATTCAAGAAATGAGCCTTATTTTATCTCCTCCTGGTTTATGTGTTGTGTTAATGTCCATTGATCGGTCGAGTTCTTAAACATGTTTGATGACTGGCAGCAACTAAAGCAGTGGAAGCTGGTGTTGATGGAATTATTGTCTCCAATCATGGAGCTCGTCAACTAGACTTTGCTCCTGCCACTGTTTCTGTCCTTGAAGAGGTAAGTTTCATTGTGTACTACTTCTATATTAGCATAAGATGTGAAAACAGGGAGATAAAATTGCTTCAATTTCTGCATAAACTAATTTTACATAACTTGAACTAGATCAAATATCAAGTGTAGTTGAAAAATAATCATCCAACGTTTACAATGGTTGCTTTACTAATAACTGTAACAATCTTTCATCAGTAAAGTTTTTTTTAACAAGTAGGGCATGCAGGTTGTTGATGCTGTGAAGGGTAAAGTTGCTGTGCTCTTAGATGGAGGTGTGCGGCGAGGTACAGATGTGTTTAAGGCAGTAGCCCTTGGTGCCCAGGCAGTGCTCGTAAGTTGTATACCCCCAACTAAAACACTATACTTTTGTGGCTAAATCTGTACTAAAATAAAATCATGGGGTTCTTGGTTTCTTAGCTCTCATGTTAGAAATGGTTGTGATTTGATTCAGATAGGGAGACCAGTTTTATTTGGACTGGCAGCAAAGGGAGAAGGAGGAGTAAGAACAGTGCTGGAGATGCTGAAGAATGAGTTAGAGATTAGTATGGCACTTTCTGGGTGCCCATGCATCAAGGACATTACTAGAAGCCATGTTAGGACACCGTACGATAAGCTGCCTTCAATGCTTTAGTGCCTCTGTATACCATTTATATATATAATTTAAGCATAGCTGAGTTAGTCTTGCAAATAAGAGGAAGCTGGGAACTCTACAAAAAAAAAAATAATAATAATAATAATGAAGGTGCAATAAGCGGTTTGTTTACCCTCTTATTTGCCCACACACCCCATTTTCTTTCAAGCTTTCTTCATCTCTCTAATTTATAAAAGAATATTCTAAACTCTCCTTTCAAAATACTTGTATTCTATCTAAAGCTTTTATAAATATATAAAATTATGAAAAATAAATATTCAGACTTGAAATAGTGATTCTCCCCAAATCGGTATTGTTTCACTCTTTCTTATCTTCTACGAATTATAAGTTATTTTAGTTCTTTATGTAATTCTGAGATACATATGAAATGAATTGCCATTTTTTGTTTTTGTTTCTTTTTTTTTCGTTTGTTTTTGTACGACTATCTATTCTAACTTGGTACTATACATAAGTCCAACTTTGTGTTCGAGTTGTCAAATTCACTCTTATGACAGCAGAATACTATACATAAGTCAAACTTTGTGTTCGAGTTGTCAAATTCACACTCTTATGACAGCAGAACAATGATTGTGCGACACTTGTTCTAACTTGGTGAACAAGTCAGCTATACATAAGTCAAACTTTGCAGACAACCTTAACGTATGATTGAATCTTGAGTCATGTTTGAAAGAAATGCTTTAGAAAACGTAAGTGAGGAAATGCGTTCAAAATAATTTAAAAGAAATCAATGTTATAAAGGGACAGTGAATAAAAAATGTTATATTCTGAAAGCAAATAAACAACCACCACAAATTTGATAACATATCATCCAGGTGGAAGAATTGATAACTAGTCACATCCCACCTTTGTACATTTTAGTCCTAGTAGGTATGATCATAGACTTCCGTATTGACACAACAAGAACAGTAAAGACCTATCTAACATGAATGCAAGTAAAATTAGTTTAGAATGGGCATGTGACCATGGACAACACGTCCTAGATAGACATGACCGAGACATCCGACACGTAGCTACAGATAACACGCCTTGGACAAGCATGATTGCGACATCCTCTCCTACTCAATTGGTTGACTTCTCTGTCAACCGACTCTTCACAAGCTTAGCGATGTAGGATGATGCTAACTTTAGGTTTCTCGATGTGCTTCCAACTGATCTTAGCATTGAGGAGTCTCTTCCAATCTGTAAGGAAGTGTTGAAAACCACTTCTTGGTTTGTCGACTCTTTGCATCTTCTTTGTTGAAGTCTCTCCAACTTTCTCCATTGCGAAATTCTTCTTCGTTACATGAGGTCGTACAACCTCCTTGTGCTTGGTGTCTTCTTGGTCGGGATAGTTACATTTCAAGTTACTGACGTGGACAACAGGACTAGTCCCCGTCCATGGGAGCAATTGGATCCTATATGATGCATTTCCGACTAGATAGCTTCAACTAGTCCATAGCATTTATGCACCTGTTCTTTGTTCTTGATGCTTTGAATCAGAGTTGATCTAACCTCAATTTGATCACAACTCTCTCTCCATTTTGAAATTGACATGGCTGACGCTTCTGACCGCCCGTTCTCTTCATCCTTCTGGATTGTTTTTCTGAGTGAGCACGAGTTATTTCAGAGGTTTGTCTCCCCACTTCCATAAAGTTGTTGGCTTGGGGTCTCTCCCTAGCATTTGGGTGATAATTGACAAGATTTGTTGAGGGTCTAATGAACCCGGCTATCAACTAATCATTTAGCTGTTTGTAGAATTTAGCTAACCTAACTGTGGCAGGCGACCTCTCCTTCGACATAGAATCAATCTTGTGATTTATCTCTCTAGGTGGAGATGAACCCTTTATCTTACCTTCTGATTCTGCATCGTTATGTTCTTGTAGGGTCCGTGAGGTTTCTGTTGGAGTGAGCTCACTCGAGCTTCCCTCTTCAACCATGACAATGATAATGGGTTCATCATCGGTAAGATCCATTCTCAACAGTAACACCGACATCATCTTCACCCCTTTTGGATGACGAGTGATTGTTCGAATAATTGTTGGGTTAGACCCCGTTACTACTAAATATTTCGCTAGGGGCATGTAAATGACTTTGTGTTCAAGTAGGAAATCCATTCCTAACACGATGTCGAAGCCGTCCATCTTGACAATCACAAAACCAGTTTGTCTTGCCCAAGTTTCCATCTTTATCGGAGTTCTCTTTGTAACCTCTAAGATAGGCAAGGCTATTCAATTGTCAAATTTTATCCGTCTTATATCTCGATGTCATAGGATGTTTAAGCATTTCATTTTGGTCTCTATAATGAAGTTGTGGGTGGCTTCAAAGTTGACAACAGTGTTCTTGGCCACTCTCTGGTTGACCTAGACCTCAATATACATAAAACCATGTTCCACTGATCTTTTATCTCATTCACTCTCTTCGGAGTGCAGATAAATACTTTAGGGCCCCCATGCGGGGGTTTTCCACACTTTCGACTAGCAGGGTTTCAACTTTTACATTTTCGTACTCTGAATTCATTCCAAATTTTGCTTGGAAGGCATAGAGTGCCACTTTTTGTTGGCACTCGGTTCCTTGGTGGACCCTCTTGCATATGAAACAAGACGAAGGGCCTTGGCTTTAACTGTGACTGTTGACCTCCATGAGGTTTTACCTTTATATTGGGAGAACTCGCATTCACCTTCTCCGCCTTAAAATTTGTCACTGCTCTAGGTTGATATTTTTTATTTTCACGACTTGTGGAAGCTTAGTTCCGTCTTATATCTTGGGGTTAATCGATGTTAAGTTCAAAAAGTCATTTGATTGTAATATAGGTCGTGGAAGGTCTTAAACTCTTTGTTGTAGAGCTTGGTCCTCGACCACTTTAACCCCTCAACAAAATTGAACCCTTGTCTTTCTCATACATGTCACAAATATCTAACATAATCCTACAAAACTAACTTAAAAGTAGCGTTAGATATTGCTAGTATGCCTTAGCTCATTTTAACTTTTTTCCTGCGATTATCTCAACATTCTTAACAAGGAATTGAGAGCGGGATCTTGTTTTAAGCTCTCCCAACCTAACCCAACAAATTTATTATTAGATTGAGTTGGGTTCATTATTTAATATAAATTATTGAAATTAAAAAAAATTACAACCAGATCAAATTCAACCCAACCGAATAAAATTATTCGGGTGAAGATAGGACGGGGATATGGTACAAGTTCTCAATACTTTTTTTAATACCCATATTTAGTTTGTCCCAAATACTTCCTCTTTGGACGGTTTTATATATTTATTTTATTTTATTTTATTCTAACTTTTAAATGCTTAAATTTTAAAAAAATTTAATTCACAACAATATGTTAAAATAACATAATTATTTATTTTATTTGACTGTAATAAATTAATAATAATTGATTAATGCTTTAAAATATATATTCCATTAATTTTAATGGATAAGAACATGTATTCTAGTTAAATAAATAATTCATGGATTTAAATTAATTAACTTTATTTGTTAAATTAATTTATTGTATGGAATTTTAATAATCACAATTTACTATTTTTTTTTTTAATAATATTCCTTCTTTTTTGAACGTTAATCCTTACTAAAAACAAAACAACATTCTTAATCGACAAAAATTTGCAACATTCTCATGTTCATCTAAAAAGAGATTTATTATTCGAAACATCTTATTCTCGTATCTACTGTCCATCTATATCTAATAAAACTTTTAGTTATTTAATATATATTTAATATCAAAAGTGTATTATATATATATATATATATATATATATATATATATATGTATACATGTATTCTCCACTTTTCACTCGAACATATTCTTTTGTTCTTTATAATAGCGTCCACTCATTTTTAAGATGAGTAGGAATAAAATATCACAAAAATTAAAATAATTCTTCTTTTAACTTATATATAATTTTAATAGTTCAAAATTTGAAATATCACTATTTTTTTTTTTTTTTATTTTTGTAATTCGCTAAAAATAAATAAATAATAATAAAAGAATCATTTTAATCAAGTAATTGATTATGATTTCGGAATAAAAAAAAGTACACCCATGAATAGATTTCTAGATAAAATCGAATTAAATAATTATTTAATTATTATTCTAGAATATTTAATTAATTTTAGTCTATCTTTATTAATTATAAATTGAATTTGAATCAATTAATTACATATTACTACTAATTTGAAATAAATAATTAGTTATAGTTATTAAAAACAATTTTTTATCAACCTAATTAATTAAAGAATATATTTCCTTGGTTTAATAAGGTTTTATATGTAAAAGGGAATTAAATGAATATTTAAATTGATTTATTGTAATTAATTAATGAATAAAGTATATTAAAAGAGAAATAGAAATAAAAAGAAAAAGAAAAGCTGAATGAATACTTTATTTAGGTGTATAAATAATGATTGGAAATACATTATTTGATAAATATTTTTGCGTGGTCGTGTCTAAATCCTTTGCGCCAAACGAGTCGTCACTTATTGTCTTGCCTCGGCTACATGTAAGCTTTCTCATCAACATTACATTACATTACATGCATATAATTCTACTCCACTATACGTTCACAAAACGTCCACTAACTCTACTTATTTTTCAAGATGAAAATGTCTACTCGACCCATGAACGTGGTTGAATTGAAAAGATTGGCTATACAGAAACTTCCAAATATGTGTTACCAGTGCCACGCAGGCGTGCCACGAGGAACAGATGAGGCCAATGCATTAGCCCATGGTGCCCACCCTGTCCTTGTAAGCTCCAACCACCGGCATATTTTCATTTCATCTTTCACATAAACTTTTTAAGATGCTCAATTTAATGGTTGTTTAGAACACTATGTTGATTTATAAGTCTCCAAAGTTCTTTAAAACAAACTTATAAATATTTGTTTTGGTGGCTTCGATAAACTTATATTTCTATTATTTTATAATAACCAATGAAGTAAATTATATACGTTTAGAATAAAATATATTCTTCAAAGTTTTATAGATTTTTTTTATAGAAAATGAAAATTATCAACCATCTAATATGCATTTTATTAGGGTAATTCTTCTTCTAAACCAGTGAACGTGAATGAGTTCGAAGAATTGGCTCGGTTGGCACTTCCAAAAATGTACTATGATTACTACGCTGGGGGAGCCGAGGACGAACACACGCTTAGAGACAACATACAAGCTTTCCATAGAATCACGTAACTTTGAAGCTAAGCAATGATTTGTTTGAAGAACAAATGGTATATGTTATTCATGGGCGTGTGTATGGCTTATAGGATTCGGCCTCGAGTTCTGGTGGATGTGAGCCAAGTTGATATGTCAACCACCATATTGGGCTATCCCATCTCTGCACCTATCCTCCTTGCTCCCACTGCTTCGCACAAGTTGGCTATCCCGGAAGGTCAGTCCTTCTCGTATCTTGCTTATTTCAGAACTGATTTTGTAATAACTCAAATCCATGCATGGATAGTACATATTGTCTTTAAAATATCCGTTCTTATAAACAATGTTCGATGTGACAACATTTTCTAGGAGATCTTACAATTTACCCCTTCGAGGCCCAACGTCCTCGTTGGCACTCGATTGTAGGACCCCTCCCTCCCCCCCTCCCAATCCACCCCTTTCGGGACCTAACATTCTTGCTGGCACACCGCCTCATATCTACCCCTTCAGGGCTCAGCCTCCTCACTGACATATAGCCCAGTGTCTGGTTCTGATGCCATTTGTAATGGCTTAAACCCACCGTTAGCAGATATTGTCTTCTTTGTACTTTCTCTTTCGAGCTTCCCCTCAAGGTTTTTAAAAAAACGTCTTATAGGGAGAGGTTTTCACACTCTTATGAAGAATGCTTCATTGTGAGACCCAACCTCTGTTAGGGGATTACGGTCCACAGGGGTCAGCATCCTCGCAGACACTTAAACCCTTTTCCAATCGACATGGGATCCCCCAATCCACTCCCTTTCGGCTCCCAGCATTCTTGCTAACACACTACCTCATGTCCACACCTTTGGAGCTCAGCTTCCTCACTGGCACATCGCCCGGTGTCTGTAGCTCTAATACCATTTGTAACTACTCAAATTCACTGTTAGTAGACATTGTCCTCTTTAGGGTTTTCCTCTCAGGCTTCCCCTCAAGGGGTGAAGTTTCCACACCTTTATAAAAGCTTACCGATATTCATGCCACTCTTTTCTTAATGATATCTGTGATGATTCAGGAGAACAAGCCACAGCCAGAGCAGCCGCTGCCGCCAAAACAATAATGGTACAAACTTGACAGCAAGCAATGAATTACTTCACTTCTACAATTTAGTAACTAAATCAATTCCCTTTCGTTTGTAGATTCTGTCATACTCTTCCTCCTGTTCAATAGAGGAAGTTGCCTCCAGCTGCAACGCTGTCCGTTTCTTCCAATTATATGTAAAAACAACCCTTCTTTTCCTCATTTTTTCACCAACCCAATTGCTCCCAAGTGTTAATTTAGTTCCTACAATCATCAGATCTTCAAGAGACGTGATATCTCAGCTCTCCTAGCACAAAGAGCCGAGAGACATGGATACAAAGCAATTGTCCTAACAGCTGATACTCCTCGACTAGGTAGAAGGGAGGCCGACATAAAGAACAAGTACCACTCTGCACCTCTCTGTTTCCATTCAATTAAATTATGCCATGGTTTCTATCTCATCTGGGAAACCAATTTGTAGGATGATTTATCCCCCAGAGAAGAATCTTGAAGGCCTCATATCAATTAACATTCAATGTGTGGATCAAGGTTCAAAGTTAGAAACTTTTGCCAACCAGATGATGGATGCGTCTCTGCGGTGGGAAGTATGTTCAATGAGCTGCTTAGATTGTTTGTATGTCTATTGTTTTTTTACCAGTTTAGTTATGAATTTTAGCATCTACAGGATATAAGGTGGTTGAGATCAATTACTAGTTTGCCAATTCTGATAAAGGGGATTCTCACTCATGAAGATGGTAAGTTTTAGCTATGTTTTAAGGATATTAGACTCAAGAAATGAGCTTTGTTTTATCTCCTTCTGGGTTTATGAGTTGTGTTAATGTTTGATGGGTGGCAGCAACTAGAGCAGTGGAAGCTGGTGTTGATGGAATTATTGTCTCTAATCATGGAGCTCGTCAACTAGACTTTGCTCCTGCCACTGTTTCTGTCCTTGAAGAGGTCAGTTTCTTTGTGTATTACTGTATCGAGCCCTCGAACAGCCTCCCTTTAATCGAGGCTCGATTCCTTCTCTAGAACCCTCGAACGAAGTGTTAAGGATATTTAGTCATGAATTATGGTTTACCATGTATATTGTTAGAAACATGAAACTTCACAATGGTATGATATTATCCACTTTGAGCATAAGTTCTCGTGGCTTTGCTTTGGGTTTCACCAAAAGACCTCGTACCAATGAAGATAGTATTTCTTAATTATAAACCCATGATCATTCCCTAAAATAGCCGACGTGAGACTTTCATCCAACACCTCCCCTCAAACAAAGTACACCTTCCCTTAATCGAGGCCAACATATATCATATTTGACTATTTATTATAAGCAACGGCTTACCATAGGTATCATATTTGTCCTTTTATTAAAGGCAGAGATATCTTGTATCTATTTATTGTTATTTCCATATCGTTTGTAATTTATTTGATTCTCTAAATGATTATAAATAGAGAACTTTCACCACCATTTAGATGTCGTAGTTTTAGCAAATATTCTCATAAAGTACACTCTTTGTTCGACACTTGAGTCACTTATAACTACACATCTAAGACCCACAACTTCTTTGTTCGGTACACAAGGATTCTATTGACATGGTTGAGTCAAGGGTATGAGTCTAGTACCATGTTAGGAATCACAACTCTCCACAATGGTATAATATTGTTCACTTTGAGCATAAGCTCTCGTGGTTTCTCCAAATAGCCTCGTACTAATACTAATGGAGATGTATTCCTTACTTAACCCAATAATCCACGACATGCTTTACTAATAAGTGTAGTAATCTTTCTTCTGTATGGTTTTTAAACAGGAAGTTTGATGCAGGTTGTTGATGCTGTGAAGGGCAAAGTTCCTGTGCTCTTAGACGGAGGGGTGCGGCGAGGTACAGATGTGTTTAAGGCACTAGCCCTTGGTGCCCAGGCAGTGCTAGTAAGTCCTATACCCCCAACCAAAGCACTACACTTTTTTGGCTAAATCTGTGCTAAACAGTGTTGGAAATGGTTGTGATTTGGCTCAGATAGGGAGACCAGTTCTGTTTGGGCTGGCAGCAAAGGGAGAAGGAGGGGTAAGAACAGTGCTGGAGATGCTGAAGAATGAGTTGGAGACTAGTATGGCACTTGCTGGGTGCCCGTGCATCAGGGACATTACTAGAAGCCATGTCAGGACAGAGCATGATAGGCTGCCGTCAATGCTTTGATGTGCTTGCTTGATAGCAAAAGCAACAGATTCCAGAAATTTGAAGGGGTGGGAATAGTGGAAAGGAATGAGTAACTCAAAATTCAGTTCATGTTTTCAAATATTTGAAAATTTATGATGAATAAAGTTTACTTATGATTTGAGCTCGCTCGCTAGTATATATGAGTTGAGAAAATCTTTTAGACCAACAAGAAATTTTAAATTAGTTGGGTTGTTGACTTTCAGACTCCATAATTCAACTCAACTCAATCTCCTATTTTCAAGTTGGGTTAGATGGAGCATTTTTTAACTATTTTAAAAAATTATACTCGTCAACAATTTATTAACCATCCAATTTTTCAAAAATTCAATCCAATACAAACCAACAAAAAAATGTCAACCCATAGTTTAGATTGGATATTCGAGTGGATTGAATTTTCTATTTTCTAGAAGATAAAACACATAAACTTATCTGAATTTTGACTTTTATAATTTAGATTGAATAGATCAAGTTGTTCCAACTATCAGATCATAACTGGCCAAATCAAAAAAGAATCGTATTTTCAACCCTGCAGACAAAAATGCTCGTTGTACAAATCCTTGAGAATTGATTTTAGAATAAAGAAGCAAAAGTTAATAAAACAAACGGAATTAAGCACTTTAATAGTATGATATTCCACTTTCAAAATATATTGTAAATATGACGGTTGGAAATATTTAGATATTTTATTATAAAGAAAATATCTAGATATTTTCTTTTTTGCTATCGTACCTCTATGGTTATTTGTATTTATTACTCTTTCCATATAGTGGGTGGATTAACCACAAAATCTTAGTACCCTACCTTGAATATTAATTCATAAAAAAAATGACCTATGGCCATGAGATTAACATCAAAAAGTAGAATTTGTTTATCATAAAAGCATATTGGCCGGGATGCAAAAACGGTGTAACCAACTAGATCAGCCATTTTAAAAATTGGTTTACATAGTAAACTAGTCGATATTCTCATTTACTTTGTGAAAGAGTGAAATCAGTCTCATTAATGTTTCGTCTTTCTCTTTTTCTTTCACCGGAAAAAAGAATAGTGAAAGAAGCAAACTCACTTTAAGAGCTTTACCTTGTGTTTGAATAAAGAAAGAGTAGCCCGAAAAGAAAGAGCGAGGTTTAGGGTATAGAATAAAAGAAAGGTTTAGATTAAGTTAATAAATAAGGTAAATAGGTTCAGATCGAGGAATAGAGTCAAAGGTGAAAAACTGACCTAAACTTAGTGCTTGTGAAATCGATAGGCTTAGAGCTCACTAAACACCAACATCATTGTAAGCTGACTTCGAGCTATACGATTATTTATGTCTCATCTTCCATGAAATAATAATAAAATGCTTTGAAAGGTCGTTTCAACTAAACAAAAAGGTTCTTAGTATGCGTTGAAATTGAGTTTAAGCTAGATTAGGGATTAATTAACGTAAAGATTAAAATCAAACAAGCATGTAAAATACAAAAGCACATTTCCTTCTCTCTCCTACCCGTATTGATGACCTGTTTAAATAGTTAATGGGAGCTTAGGATTAGGGTGGAAGATATCGAGCAAATATGACCACTGTGAATTCATAGTGATATTCTTTGGATTAACGAACGCCTTGACGACATTTATGGATATAATGATCAAAGTTCTTAAGGACTTTTTGGATATGATTGTGATTGTGTTTATTGATGATAAATTGGTGTACTCAAGATCTAGTGGGAAATACGCTGTTAGTTTTAAGAGCACAACAAATCGACACAATTTTTTTAGGGTGAATTCTAGCTATAAGAGATGAATTTCTTGGGTAATGTAATGTCAGAGCACGATTCTTAGTGGGTCCAATTAAGGTCAAGGCCACGATAAACTAGCCTCGTCCCACTTAAGTCTAAAGTTTCCTAGGCCTAATAGGATATTACATGAGGTTCATTCAAGGCTTTTCAAAGTTCAACGAAACCCTCGTTTAATTGGCCAAGGATGGAAAAGTGTTCACTTGTGATGATATTCGTGAGCAAAGCTTTATGAAACTCAAGCATCGACCTCATCAGAGTACCCGTACTTAAGTTTATATCTTTGGCAAGGGATTGGGTCGTGTTCTAATGAAAAAAGGCAAAGTGATAGCCTACGCCTCAAGAAAATTGAAGGAATACGAGTGAAATTACCAAACACATGATCTAGAGCTAGCATCAGCGGTGTTCATGAAAAATCTCCCATTAATTTTTACGAAGCTCCGAAACAAAAATTTTCGAATTTTTAACTGTAGTCGAATCGGTGTGATTCATTTTTAAAAAATAGAATATAATTAAGACATTTGTTTAACTTTAAGCAAAAAAAAAAAATTGAAAAATTGAAAAAAGAAAACTATTAATTTACTATATAGTTTCTAATGAAGTATCGAAATGTCTGAAAAGTCCCTCCGCATAACAAATACGTTTAATTATTGAATGAGCTAACGACGTTGACACGTTGGATGGCAAAATTGTTATTTTCTTGACAAATGAGGGGATTTTTTTATATCCACTGAAACCAGCTTATAGAGATATCGCAGACCGGAATAGCTGCGTTTATCCGAACTAATGGCGATGGCGACAGCGATGCCAATGCGTTGCTCTTGCTTTCTTTCCCGCCCGAAAAATTCTCCGCGATCTCCTCCCTCCGATCAGTTAACGAGGAAACTCCATTTTTCCGGTTAGTATTACGGTGTTTGTATAATCTTTTATTTGTTTTTCGTCTACTCTCATTCCTTTTTAAGTTGATTTCTACTGGATGATGCTCCGAAGCTTTTAGCTCCAGGTTTTGATGCTTTGAGTTGCGGAACATGTTCTATTATGGGGGAAATGGGATTCAACGCAATTGTACGTTACATTTTAGCTTTAAGAGTTGTATGTCTTCATTTATGGCAGGGAAAATGCCTCATGGTTCAGTTAATGTGGGCAATTTTGTTACATTTTGTGGAGACAGCATCGTCACACCATCTGGGAGACAGAATTCGTTGCCGGTTCTAAAATGTCAGGTATGATGGTGAGTTTCCTGCTCATCGGTTATGAGTATGGTACACTTATATTGTGATAACTCTCGCTGTTTCGTTTTATACTAAAATTTTTAGATAAAACATGATATGAACATTGCTACTGCACTTATTTAACTATAATCTGGGACTTTGCTGAGTGGAAATTACAAGTGTTAGAAGTACTGGAAACAAGTTATGGGAATTTCATTAGGGTTTGATTTCATTCCACTATTTGTTATGTTTATTGAAAAGAAATTTGATCAATGGAAGATGATGGTGTTTTCTGTTGATAAATTTATTCTTGGCAGGGAAATAATGAGACAAAATTTCCAGTTATGGCGTTTCTATTAGCTAATGTATTTACATTTTCCGTACCATTGAAAGTTTTGGCTGAAACATGCGAGGCTGAGAATTCTGCTTTCAACATGCCAATCCTTCTTTCTGTCTCCCTTATAGGGGCCACTGTTGGAGGTAAGACTCCTTGATCTGATGCTATGTAGGGCAGTAATCACTTCATCATTTATATAGGTATTTATCTCTCAGTAATCTAGAAGAGAAACTTAATCAAGACTGAGCTTTTGATCCTTATGCACTTAATAATTTTTCCCCTTCATCTTTATTGGTTTTGGTGGGGTAGGAGTGAAAAGGGGAATGTTAAGCATTATACCTCGCTCTAGAATTGCCTATTCAATGCCAAATAAAGACCGCTGGTTCTTCCAGTTATGGCCAAATTGTGTTGTATACAAGGTTGGATAAAATGTGGATGAGAAGTATTGATGGGTGTCTGTTATGAAAAACTTGGGATTTTATCTAAAAAAACTTCCTAAAGAACTAGACCTCTAGATCTAAATTATCTTAGAATCTCAAAAATGATAAGAATCAACCTAAGGGAAAGTTTTAGGATGGATTACCTTGATGATTAAGATCAAAAGTAAAGAAAACTTGTTTTTAAACTTTGATTCGAATCACTCCACAAGATAGTTTGATTAAAACTACTTGAATGACTCGAACATGCAAATCTAAGCACAAGAAATGCAACTGAACAAGCAAATGGCTTAAGAAGCATAATATGCAACTTTCATTATGATATCCAAAATCTTCCTACTAAAACAACATGAATGACTATTTATAGCCTTGAAAATAAACCTTATGGTAACTTATGGCTAATTGAAAGGTTTCATCAATAACATAATGGTCACTAGCTAATTGTACTTATAATCTTAAAGACAATTCTCTAAAACTTAAAAAATACAGTAAAGCCTCCTTAAGTCTAAACAGCATGTCTAGATCTTGTCATCACCATGAAATCTTTGTAACATGATTAAGACACCTTATTTCATATAAGTGTTACTATTAAATTTCTACAGTAACCCATAGTAATTATCCTAGTAATATCTTGTGAAAATTTTACATTTCTAGTTTGAATTGGGAATATAAAGCTTGTCTAGTTTACAATACTTTTAACAGGATTGCTTGCTCGGCAAAGAAAGGGAGAACTGAAGCGGTTAAATGAACAACTTCGCCAGATTAATGCGGCATTAAGAAGGCAAGCAAAGATTGAGTCTTATGCTCCCACCTTAAGTTATGCTCCTGTTGGTGGAAGAACATTCGAGAGTGATGTAATTGTTGATCCAAGGAAGGAGGAGTTAATCTCTCGATTGAAGTCTGGAAAGAACTTTTTGAGAAATCAAGACCCAGAGAAAGCATTTCTGGATTTTAAGACTGCTCTTGAGCTTGCTCAGGGTCTGCAGGATCCGATAAAGGAGAAGAAGGCTGCAAGGGGCTTAGGTTTGTTTTCTATAACCTATTTAACCTCTTGCTTTTTATATTGCTTTAAAGACAAAACACCTTCAAGTTGTTTGGAGACGTTTGTCAGAATTATCCAGATGCGCTTTGAATTTAAAGCTAGTAACCTGCTGCCTGTTCTTGTTCCTTTTACTAAAACACAGAATATTTGTCATTCCATGTTGGTAGTTCCAAAAGATCTTGAACAATGCTATCTTCATTGAATTCAAGGCCTTAAAGCCACCATGTGGAACCCTTAATTCTCTGCGTACATCTTTCTCCTTGTACACAATGCTGTATTCTGGCTCTTCACCAATCAATAACTCTATAGGAGGTGTGAGTCTTCTCC